GTGCCGCTGTGCGTCGTGCACCCGAAGGTCGGGGGCGGTCAAGAGGGGGGTGATGACTACAGTCGAGTTTGATTAGTAGGTCGACCCTGCCCAAACAAGGGTACCTTTGTGTCCTGTGTTTCGTGGCCCATGCCCTCTACGTTCCACTGGCAATGTGGCCATCGGAAGAGTCTTGTGTGCTCTCGCGTGTCCTCTCCAATCCACCCCGACTGTAGGGGGGGTGGATATCATGGCGGGGGCCATGATGTCTCCCCAGATTTCGTGGCACCTCTTCTTGTCTCAATGCGTCCCTGACCCCCCCCCGGGCCGCGCACGTGCCGCCGGCCATGATTTGCGCCCCCCCCCTCTCCTGGACTCGGCGGCGACGATAGGGGCGAATAGCCCAGGGGCGGGCATTACACGTATTCGCCCGAGAGCCCTTTCGAAGACATCGATCATCGGCGCACCTGAGTACATGTATTGCTCTCCCCTGGGCTATTCGCCCCTATCGTCGCCTCTCCTGGACGCCCCCCCTCTTGGCGAGCCCCCCGAGAAGGACGACGAGGTCATACCCCTGGAGCAGGGCCTCGCGGTGCTCGACGGGGCGGCGGCGCGGCTCAAGTTCGGGCTCTGGCTGGCAGGCCGCTCCCTCGTCGTCGCCGCCGCCGTCGTCGTCGTCGCCGCCGTCGTCGTCGTCGTCGTCGTCGTCGTCGTCGTCGTCGTCGTCGTCGTCGTCGATCGTCGTCGATCGTCGCCGCCGTCGTCGTCGTCGTTGCCGCCGCCGTCGCCGTCGTCGCCGTCGATCGCCGTCGATCGTCGTCGTCGTCGTCGTCGTCGTCGTCGTCGTCGTCGTCGTCGTCGTCTTCGTCGTCGTCGTCGTCGTCGTCGTCGATCGTCGTCGCTCAAGTTCGAGCTCTGGCTGGCAGGCCGCTCCAGAACGAGCCTGCTGGCCCTCTGGCGACGGCTCTGGTTGGCGCGCGGGTCGACCCCAGACCTCCTCGCGTCGTGAAAAACCCATGACGGAAGGTTTTTCGCTCTTTTCGGCCTCCAGTCTCCCTTCCCGGCCTCGGGACCGTCCGAAACGATTCAGGAGGGTAAACCAGTCGATGGGAAGGGGTCCAGGCCTCTGGGGGTCGTTGCGACAAAAATCACGACGTCGGCGGTCTGGGATTGTCGCGCGGGTCGACTCCAGCGCCAGCTCGACCGAAGATCCGATCCGATTCGCCCATCCGTGCTGGAGGAAGCGTGTAGGCGCTCGCGCGACGATGGTCTGGTCGTGCTTCGGCCACGGTGTTTTTTGTGTGTCTTTTGCCTCGTTTTGCCCTCATTCGGCGGCGAGCCCACGGGGGAAGTGAAAAGGGGCGGGCCTTCTCAGAAGGCTCGGAAGTCCACTGGCCTTCGAAGAGGTTTTCTAAGCGAGCAAGCCTCTCAGAAGGCCTGCGGCTTTTCAAGAAGTCCCTCCGGTGAACGACCTCTGCGCTTTGGCGTCGGAGATCTGGGGGCCCGTCCCGCGGTGCGCTCTGGGTCCCGCCGACGGGGGCACCTCCTCCTCCTCCTCCTCCTCCTCCGCCTCCACCTCCTCGTCATCCTTCTTCTTCTTCTTCTTCTTCTTCTCCTCCCCCTCGTCCTCCTCCTCCTGCTCCTCCTCCTCCTCCTCCTCCTCTTCCTCCTCCTCCTCCTCCTCCTCCTCCTCCTCCTCCTCCCCTCCCCTCCTCCTCTCCTCCTCCCCCTCCTCGTCCTCCCCTCCTCCTCCTCCTCCTCCTCCTCCTTCCTCCCCCCTCCTCCTCTCCTCTTCCTCCTCCTCCTCCTCCTACTCTTTCTCCTGTTCCTCCTTCTCCTCCTTCTCCGCCTCCCCCTCCTTCTCCTCTTCCTCCTCCTCCTCCTCCTGCTCCTCATTCTGCTGCTGCTGCTCCTCCTCCTCCGTAGCCATGTCGGCTCAAGACTCCAATGTTGGCGAGCAAAACGCTCGTAGGATTCCATGGTATACCTCTGTTCCGAGGCCAGTGCAGGAGTGTTTTGCTACTCTCCGCCCTACATTTTCACGCGGGATTTCTCGGAGGTGCCGCGGCCTCCTCTTCTTCGTGTCCGCTGATCGACTGCTTCACTAAGGAATGCCCGACGGACCCACAGGAAACCGTTCGCCACGTCGCACTGCCGACCCTTGGTACGACGCTGCCGCTGTGGCCGCTGCAGAAAGGATTGGCAAGGACAAAGCCGACAGTCTCAAGGCCGAGTTGGAACAAGTACTCAAGACCCAAGTGGAACTGGCCAGCACGAACTTCAAAGCGACGGCAGAACAAACATATGCAATCACGCACACGGGGCCTTCTTGTCCCAGGTGCAGCCACAGAAAACGACCTCACCATCCTCAAGATCCGCATGGACAAAGCAGACGCGGCCAACTTCTCCCTCAAGCCATCAGTCGACGACATCAAGAGGCTTTCGCTATCGTTGAATCCAGAGTGCCGAGCTTGGTCTTGGCCAACATCGGAGCGTGGGACCGTTCTGGACACTTCGGAACGTTCTGGTGAGGCGCTGCCATCCCGATCAGCAAGGTCCAGCTGCGCACCGCTCTCGCCCCCTGGTTCAAAGATGCTGGCGTCGACATGGCCACGGTTCGCTTTAACGACTCGGCTCCCAACAAGCGGGTCTCCATCACGCTCATGGGCGTTTGCGAGGTGGCCTATCCCCGCGCTCAAGCTCCACGTGCTCATCTTCGGATTTGCCGTGGCTGGCGCAATTTCAGGCTCTTCGATCACGGCGCGCAGCGCGACCTTTGCGTCAGCGCGGACAGGGGTCCCAAACAAGTTCGGCAAGAAGTCCAGCTCAAGCGTCTCGCCAGGCACGCCCTCTCCTGCTGCCCCGACCTGGACATCATACCGAACCGTGCCGAAGGCTTCCTCGTGGTGGACGGAGTCCCCATCGTGCGCCTCACCGTCGGAGCCTTTCCGCAAGAAGCCTCCAATATTCAGTGGCCTGATGCTGCTGAGCGCCCCGGTATCGCTGCTCGCTTCAAGCGAGGCATCGGGGACCTCATGGACACCTCCTTCGGCGACCCCATGGCGGCAGCATCGCGGATTCAACGCGCGCTGGACGGCGTGGCTAGACGACTCCTCGCACCCAAATGCAGCCATCATCAGCCGGAACGCCCAGGCATTGCTTCGCTCTGTCCCTCGCAGGCGCGACATCAAGCGCCGCATGCCTGTTCCGTGCCCCCAGAAGCCGTTTCCCATTGGCTTGCTGGAGACGCGCGGATCGCGGACTGCCCTTTGCCAGATTGCCAACTCCACGTCCGTCAAGTACCTGGTGTGCCACGGCGCTGTCCCCGAGAACCCAAGGGCTGGCGGCGTGGCTGTCCTGGTGCCACAGTTCATCCCGAAGCCAAAACGACCCCGACCAGATTGTCGAGCTCGAGATCGCCGTCGCCGCGGTTGTTTCTGGGCGAGCTGCTTTCGTTGGCACCGCCAGCGTCACGCAGAAGTGCGCGCATATCTTCCCGAATATACACAACTTCGAGCTGACCGCTGTCAGCCGCGCGGCCATCGAGGACACCTGCGCGGAGGCCCTGCGCGAGGCCAGCGCCGACCCCCTGGCCACGTTCTGTTCTTCGTGCCGGGTGATTTCGACATCTCTGAGCATCCTGCGCGCAGTTTAATTCGCCCCGTGGACGCGAGGACGTGCGAGCGCTATCAGTGCCAGCCCGCGTTTTGGAAGCAGCTCTTCAGACGGACGACGTATATCACTACTGCGTCCACGACGCATCGATGCCCTGTGGCACTATCCTAATCATGCGTTGACAGAGTTTCCACCTCTTTCGCCCCGCACAGCGTTCCCCTGGTTGAGATTATGGTGACAGTCAGCGATGACCCGCTGGAACGCACGGGAACTCCTGCAAGTGACCGCGACGTCGTTCAAGCTCGCATCCGCCCTTGCAATCAACGACCAGTTCAAGAACGCAGTATTCCTTTGACATCTTCCAGTCCATCTTCTACGCCGACGCGATCGAGAACCTCTCATGAAACGCGCAGTGCGGCGAGCTCTCCCCGATAGGCAAGTGGCAGGCGCTCAAGGCCAACGTGGCCACCGCTGCTGGCCTTGCACGCGACGCCCTGCCCTGCTTGCACCCGGGCGTCCTGAACCGTGATCGCGACACCGTCCCCAGGGAGGTGAACTCCAAGACGGCCGACTGGCTCGTCTCGTCGTTAGGAAGCCCCACCTCGGCGCGAATCACCTCCGCTTGGACGCTGATGGCTCGTCCTCGTCGTCGCCTGCTGTCATCGCTCTGATCGACGCCCCCGTCTTCGCCTCTGATGCCGCTGTTGCGCATGCTGCTGCTGATGAAGAACGACGTGCTCAGGCTGCCCGACTTTCCCGTCAAGTTTTTTTTTTTTTTGTTGTAAATTATCCCAGTGCGACCCTACCTAGGAGTTGGAGCATTCAGGAAAGCAACAGCTAAGCTAAGCTAAGCTAAGCTAAGATGGGGTAAGCTAAGCTAAGCTAAGCTAAGCTAAGCTAAGCTAAGCGAAGCGAAGCGAAGCTAAGCTAAGCTAAGCGAAGCGAAGCGAAGCTAAGCTAAGCTAAGCGAAGCGAAGCGAAGCGAAGCTAAGCTAAGCTAAGCTAAGCTAAGCTGGCTAGGCAAAGCTAAGCTAAGCTAAGCTGAGCTGAGCTAAGCTAAGCTAAGCTAAGCTAAGGCTAAGCTAAGCTAAGCTAAGCTAAGCTAAGCTAAGCTAAGCTAAGCTAAGCTAAGCTAAGAAGCGAAGCTAAGCTAAGCTTAGCTAAGCTAAGCTGAGCTGAGCTAAGCTAAGCTAAGCTAGGCTAGGCTAGGCAAAGCTAAGCTAAGCTAAGCTAAGCTAAGCTAAGCTAAGCTAAGCTAAGCTAAGCTAAGCTAAGCTAAGCTAAGCTAAGCTAAGCGCTAAGCTAAGAAGCTAAGCTAAGCTTAGCTAAGCTAAGCTGGGTGAACCCAGGGGGCGCAACTGGGGGAACCAGGGGGGCGCAACCGGGGGAACCGCCCGGGGTGAGCAACACTGCCCGCCCCCTTAGCCAACAAAGTAAGAACCCTTCTAGGCAGAGCCTAGGTAGGGAAAAAAACAGCTGCGTGGTGGCAGGTGGCGGAAACGAGCTGGCGACGAGCGTCGCCGAGGGGGGCTGTGGAAACCCTTCGCGAAGCGATTGGTGCCTGCTGGTGTCCGAGTGACGCGCGGCGGCGACGCCACGGTGGTCAACGACCCCCTGGACATGAACTCCGCCATCCAGGCGCACTGGGCTCCGATCTTCCAGGACAAGCCCGTCGACGCGAACGCCAAGAACTCGTGCCTCGACACCGTCTTCCCTGCCCGGGTTCTGTTTCCCGCTGACATCCCCGACGAGCGCGATCTGAGGCAGGCCGCCAGGCTTGCCGCTGATTCCGCACCTGGTCCCGATGGCCCCCCGTGCAGGGCCTGGTCTGCCACCCCGAACAGCATCGCTTACCTGGCCGAGCTTGCGCAGTGCCTGTGCGACGGCAACCATGCGCCGCGTACCTTCAACCACGCTCTGTTGGCAATGCTACCCAAATGCGATGAACCTACTGGCCAACATGAGTGCGCGCGCGACCCTGGACAGCCCCGACCCTTGGCCATGAAGAACGCGGACGCCAAGATCATC